AATTGATATATGTATGGATTGTGATAAGAGTTGTATGCGCCCCTAATAAAACGATAAAAAAAAAAAGAAAAACAAAAAAACTAACTTGTCTATTGAATTCCTCTTCATTTTCCATCCACATGTACTCTGCAAATGGATTGTCATCTTCATGAGAATGCCCGTTTATAATCACGTCTTCATTGATGATGCTTGGGCTAGTACTGCTACGACTTGGATCTTTCATGGTTGGCGTTAGTTGTCGTTTTAACCTTTTAAGAAGAACAATACAGATATTATATAGTACTCATTCTTTCAGGTCCTAGTAGGCATCTTTTACTACCAGGTATCTTGGTTGGGTGTTGGGTGCACCTGAGATGCTAAGTGCACAATATTCAAATTGGGCAAATTATTTCAATGCTTAGAAAATGGCTAAGGACAGCCTAGACTCATCTCTATCAGTAAATGAAAGCTATCAGTATTTTAAATAGAATCTTCAAATCATCATTTTCCATTGGACAGCCTTGCTTTATAAAACAAGTAATGGAGACTTGATCATCAAGTGATTTTATGAAAAGCCAATTCTACTTTTTAAAATGGCTATTAAGTTTAGAGATTAATAATCTCAACAAAAAAAAAAAATCTCTTGGTTCTTCAGTCCCAAAGTATGACTCTGGATCTTTCCTTCATAGTTCATTATTTTGGTTTTCTTTCTGGGTCCATTAAATTCCTCCCTATCTGAATGTCCTTATTGTATGCTGAATTTCAGGTAATCTCTTTTTGTGTAAGCAAAGAAATACCTAATATTGTAGGTCTGATTTCTTAATATTCACTCACTAGTTAATATTATAATTTATCCTAATTGGTCTATTGCAGACTGAAAATTCCAAGCATGAGTTTTCAGACTGGACAATATCCTAACAATTCAGTAAGTCTGAAATAGCGAGACACAATTTACATAAAACAAGAGCCATCTGTACATAAATTCAAGCAGTAGAGTGATGTGTGTCAATAAAAAGAGCATACTGAATAAGAGGGGGGGCGTTCAAAACAGGCTACTCACTCCAAAGTATGCATATTCAAGCAAAATGCTAAAAATGAAAATCTCCTAGTGGAACCCACACCCCAATATGGTTCAGGGTAAAGAATCTTAGCTTTGTGTGTGGTCTGGGCTTTTAATGTTAATCTATGGGTTTATTCTTGAGAGGTCAAAAATTAAAAGATGACCCCCTTCCTCCAAACAGCTGTTTGTTATTAGTTGCCATTAAGTTGGTTCCAACTCATAAAGACCCGACATACAACAGAATTAAACACTCCCAGGTGCTCACAATTGTTATGCTTCAATCCACTGTTGCAGTCACTGTATCAATCCATCTATTGTTGAGGAGCTATCTCATTTTCAATAACCCTCACTGTTTACATAAAACAAATTTAAATTTAGCCTCTTACCAGGTGAGGTAGTGTGGTTTTATTTCCCCCTACCTATGTATTTATGTCTCAAATAGTGATGACAATAACATGGGGGTAAATTTTCTAATTTTTAAAAAGTCTTCAATAACTGCTGATACTTTCTGCCCCAGCAATTGTTATTTGTATATGTATGAAAAAGCGGAAGAGGCAGAGTGTCTCTCAAGAGTTATGTGGTAGTGTCAACATAAGAAAACAGTAGGAAATTGCACTGTGAAAGCACACAAGGTAGAAAACAACAGGCAAAGGATATCTTTCATATTTTTATTTATTCATCAAAATTGGATGAAGTAAAGCTTTTCATATTAAGTTTTGGATAAATAGCTATCAGTTCTTCTAACTAATACTCATTGTAATTTCAAGCTCATGCTCAACAGAATTACAATTTCAATTTTGCAGAAAAAAATTTGCCTTAAACATTCAGTAGTAGGAATCAATTCTGCCTTGCAACTGGATGAAAATTCATTTGAAGTGTGTATATGAATCAGTAAGCTATCTCAAAGATAACCCAGCAACAGCATTTCATAATTATTTCCCCAACTTATACCCTACAGTTCTCTACTAAAGAATAA